GCATGGTGTGAGACCCTCTGCAGAAGCCCCATCGCTTCTACAGCCCGATTTGGTGTCTTTGTGGGACTAGTATATAATTGACATATTCTTTCTGTTCATTGTTCAACTCAATCATCTGGAATAAGGCAAGGAATTTACTGCACCAGCCACAGTGTGAAACTGAGAGAATGTCCCACATGCTCTGTGGTGTGTCAGGGGGGCTTGTAGGAATACTGGGGGCTACAGAGCTGCTCACACCATATTCAAGGGCTGCACAAGGTGGAGGGAACCCTACCCAGTACAGTCTCATCCGAAATGAATCCTGGGGGGTGGTTCCTGGTGTAAATTACCCCAAACTGCTCAACAATATCTTTGGGCAAAGTGGTTGGAATGGCACATGGCAGAGCCAGGGCTGCCCTGGCACCGGGTTCCAAGGATGCTCAGGGAGCAGGGTGTAAACTGGTCCTGAGACCACTTTTAGTTAGCATCTCAGCCACTTCTAGAGATGCTAAGAAGGGCCTCCTCTAAGCAAAGGATGTAAAACCATATAATTAAAGGTGCGGGTATTAAAATGGCTGACGTGTAGACCTGTGGGAGCACTCTTGCCATTAGAATAAAAGCATTTTATTTGGGTTATTTGGGTTTAAACACAGATCAATAGGAAAAATCTTTAAACTGAAATAAGCATTTCTACAGGTATTCAAACTGATTTAGAGAAATCAATTTGCAATAACAGATTAAATTTAAGCTGCTGCAACTTCCTCACATAGATAACCTCTTGAAGAAGCACGCTGAAGTGATGAATACATATGAAGTTGAAATATATCTATAGGCAAATGTCAGATAAATATTCTTGCTGTTGCTGATCCAATTAAGATGAAGGTTTTATGTGAGGATTTTAAAATCTGGAGTATTTTATGGAGCTCAGAAGAGGAAGCAATTGGGTGATGAGTTAAACTGGCCAAGTTCAGGACATTGTATTTCCTGGTAGAAGAGCTGCGCTGGCTATGAACAGCTGAATTTGATACCTTCTTAATCACAGCAGCTAAATCAATTCAGTGGATCATACCCTCGGGAACGTCCGCAGCACTGGGGTGTATAAACTTCACACCTAACATCACTGATCTGAAAGTTTTGGCAGAAACGCTTAGGCAAGCCTTTCTGTGCTTGTTGGCTGCTCTTTGCTGCCCAAGCATCACGGTGACAGAGGTGTTCCTCTCCTGGTAGAGCAGCCTGAGGGGACCTGCATAGGCTCAGCCTCTGCTGGACTCTTTAGAACTTTAACTCCCCTCCACTGTGAGTGCAGTGGAAAAGTCAAGTTTTGTCATGGAGGACAGAGGCACAGGCACCTAGTTTCATCTACCAGCCTTGATAAGGAAGTAATTGTGGAAGCTGGGTGCACAAGGTGAGCAGGCACTACAAATCTCACCAACAAGTGAAGGTTGCACTGGAGGACTTGGCAGGCAGCCGAGGAGGAACTGGGAAAAGTGACTTTTTTTTTTTCCTTGGTGATGTGTAGTTTTTGAAGTACTTGAAATGCTTAGGAAGAAGACCTCTGAGGTGAGCAAACCAACATTTTCTCTTAATCAGTTTCAGCAAATAGAGTAAAATGTTCATTGTTGTGCAGTTTTCAACATAGTGATAACAAAGGTAGTGTTCCTCTTTCTCCTGGTTGTCATTTTTCTGTATGACATTGTTCTTATGCCAGCTCAGGAAACATGGAATGCTTTGGCTTGGAGGAGTCTTCAAAGGTCATCTAGTTCAAGCCCCCTGTCATAGAAAGAGACATTTTCCACTAGACTAAATTGCTGAAAGCTTCATCCACTATAGCCTTGAACACTTCCAGGGATGGGGCATCCACAACTTCTCTGGGCAACCTGCTCCAGTATCTCACCATACGCACAGTAAAGAATTTCTTGCTAACACTGCTTCTAATGCAGCCCAGGATATGGTTGGCTTTCTGGGATGGAAGCTCACATTTCTGAGTCATGTCCAATTTTTCAGACAGACGAACTTTTTCCTGGTGGACTTAAAAGAAAAAAAATTAATCTGAGTGAATTTTTGTGCATGATAAAAATTTATAGGGAAAATCAGTTTTTTGTAACCAAAGTATTGACAATTTTTAGTCAAATACAGCAAATAGGTTTTGATGACACTTATAACTAAAAAGAAGAGTCAAGATGTGAAACTCTTCCTTTCAAAACTGAGGCGCATTTGAGAAATGGACACATTAAGAAAAAAGTAAAACTTTTTTGTTTTCTTAGATTGGTTAGAACAACTGAGAAGCTTGGCTTTATGAAGAAAAGGAGATTTTTTTTATTTTTAAGGAGCTGCTGAAATGAAAAAACCAAAAAAGAAACTAAAACTCAACACCCAGGTAACCACTTATATATTTTTTCCTCCTTTTTTATTTTTTTTTTTAATTTATTTTTAAAATTTTTTTTTTCCTTTTTTTCCTGTTTCTTTTTCTTTTTCACTTTTTCCTCCTCCTTTTTAAATGTGCAGTGAACAGACTCCACAGGCAGTACGAATTTAGACAATCTGAGAGGTGAAAATACCTAATCTGTAAAACATGTAGTTTGGTGGAATAGGTGCCGAGCCCAAAAAGCAAGACTCATTGCCCTTATAAACTAGCATCAGGTGCATTATAGTGATATCATAACTGTGTTGAATTCTCCATTTCTTGGGAGGACATACTGAGGATGGAGAATATGCTTAGACACTGACCACCCTACATGAAATTGGAGAGCAAAACCTAAAAGAAAACCAGAAAACAGGGCATGAGAGGGGATGTGACATCTGGCTTCTCTGCCAAGGAACTCAAGGACCAACTCTCTTCTTTTACCTTTGGAGGAAGACGTACTTACAAACAATAATTCCACTATATTGACTTCCAACATGTGGAGGACCCCGCTAGAACCTGGCTACCCAAGTCTCTAGGACACACTGGTGTTTGCCTGGTGTAAACTAGTTTGTTTCCAATCTAGGCAAAAGTTTTCCTGAAACAAATGCCCACTGAGACAATGGAAGACTGTGCCACTGGTGGCTGCTGCCTGAATTCAGAAAGAAGAAAAGTCTAATGTAAACAGCTCTTCAGGTTGATGGATAGTAGTGTGGGTTTTTTTTCTCTTTTCTACCTGTACTTAAGACATTTTTTGCCTTTCCAGTAAGCTACCCTTGTCTGAAAGACACTTTTATAGGGGCTCAGGTAATTCACCCAAAATCCCCAGGGCAGATATGCAAGTCAGACAGCAGGAAACCAGTAAGGGTATTGGAATAAGCATCTGAGACAGGAACCTGTGGAAGGGGGATAAAATGCCACTGCCATACACTTAGCTCACTGATGGGTTAATAACTTGGTGCTTAGAGGTTCTTCATTGAGAACAATGGGCAACAGCAGCTAATGGGGTCCGACACCAGCACCCTTGGGATGAAGAGGAAGGTTAATTGAATTCTAGTGAAGCTCCCTTTGTGTTGCAGAGCATTTGAACAAACCAGGGCAGCCAACTTCCCAGCATCAGCCTATGCACTGTGGCAAGTTCATCTGTGGTATGACCAAACTGCCTTCAATAGAAGGAATGAATTTAGCCTCCAAAACTTAGTTTCGGGAGATTGAGATAATCCTATTGGAAATTTTGTCTGACTACTCAGGCCAGTGTTTGTTTTCACTTGTGAAAATATTGCAGGAGAAGGAGTGGGCATTCTTGGATGAGATGGTGCTTGTTGCTGCTCCAAATGTACAACAGTGTGGACTCTTCTACTTCACTTATTCATGGACACCCTAATCTGCACAAAAACAAGAGTTGTGGGCATGTTGTGAAAGAAGAGAAAAAACCAGATTATTCACACAAAGTCATTCGCTTGCTTTTGGCATCTAAATCTCCTTTGGCTTTTCAGAAGCTGTGATACTAGTCTTCAAATGCAGACAATACTGAATGTAATGTTATTTTGAAGATGTTTAAGCCTGATCGCTCCACATTAGTTAAAACAAAGATGGTAGTTTCAGCTTGCCTGACAAAAGTAGACTTTATGTTTTCAGTTCTTAATTCACTTGGATATCTTCCAGTAGCAAATGGTTTCAGGTTATTAGTTTCTTCATTATAATAGTGATTGTCTGAAATCTGACCTGACTTTGGAATGATATTGAGATACATCTTTGCTGCATGTTCTCAGATTTCCCACAAGCTGTTTTTTATTTGAGCACTGACAATATGCACTCACTTTTTTACCCACCCAAGCTGTGAAGACTTTTACAACTTGCTTCCTAAGGAACAGAGCTCTCTTAGTGGCTGAAAAGAAGTTTAAACACCTTCCTGTTTTCACTTGTATAGGATAACTTCGTAGGTAGTAATATTCCCCTGACAATTTTTTGTTTACCTTTGCTTAGGATCTATTCTTGTTTGAACTTTTCTCTGAGGCTGTCTGCACTGACTCTGATTTCCTGTTGCGCTATTTCCACTTTGTGTCTCTCTATTGTTTGTGCAAGCTGTTTGAACTCCAGACATTCTTCAACTCTCTTTTCTGCTTCTTCACCTTCATGTTTAAATGTGCATTGGTTGCTCTGCTGCAAAGGAGGAGGTTATCATCTTCTTCAGTTATTTTGGGGGTATCACACTAAGGAAGTTATTACCTTAACCTAGTCACCTGGGTGCTCTAGTATATACTACTTTCATATCTTTATAACTCCATTCCATTTCCGATATCTGCAAAAGTAAAACAGGGGACACACATACACACACACACACACATGTCCAAATTCCACAGCAAACAAAGAAAAAGTGGGTTAAATAAAAATAAATAATGAACAGACTTATTTAGTCCCATCTTTTGACTGAGACTCTTTGTGGCATTACTGATGAGGTCAGTTGCTGGAGTTAAAAAAGAAGAGGCCCTCCAATTACAAGAATTTGAAAGCAGCTCTAAATAATCTAAATAAGCCACAGAGCTAGTTACTATGCAGTATTATCACAGACAAGCCAGGTATAGCGAATGCAGTTAGAATGAAACTATAGGGAGGAATATTGTTTAAAGCAACTCACTTTTATTGACAGTGTACTGTAAGGCAAGGAAAAAATGTTTGCCAGATTTTTTAAAAAGAAGGTTTGCAGCAAGAGTGATCTGCAGTTCAATATATTATTGAACTTTCAAAGACAGTATCTTTTATAAATCCAATATTTATCTTTTTATCGTACATACAAAAGCTTAACTTAAACAAGCACAAAACAGAACACAAAATAATGGATTTGCATATGAGGTTTTGTTGATGGTTCATAATCTAGTAAACAAGAGAATGCACACATTCTGTTACTATAGAGTTACATTTGACTAGATTTAAACTTAAATATACCCCAAACCACATAAAACGCCCAGAAAATACCGATGTGTTCAGTATGACTACTTCAGAAAAAAATCTAAACAATGTTCAACCATACACTGGGAACAAAACATTGATAGATGCCAAGAAAACTGTATTTCATGACCAAAACTAATTTTGCATTTTTGGTGAAGGCATTTGTGTGTTTTCACTGTTGTATTCTGACTGTTCTACATTAATATCTTGGCAAGAAAAAATTTTCCAAACACTGGCTTTTGTCTGCTTTTGAAAGGATATGTTTTTGAACTGGTGATGTAAATAAACTGTGAGCCTCTTAGAAGATCACACATCAGGCCATGTTAGAGCAAACTATCATTTCCATAGGAAACAATGGTAACAGAAAGGTCCCAGCTATGCTAAAAAACCCAGTCGGGGGACAAGGAACAAAGTCTGCAAACTCTGAGTTCTTCCCTGAGGGAAGGGCACATTTTTACCCCACATTTTTTGACAGCCTTAAATTCTGAAACTAACAAACGCTGTTGTATTTCATGGCTTTTGTTCTCTACCTCCATATCTGTATAGCATTGGCCTTTCACTGGAAAAACTTTTATGAAAGCGATAGCTGCTTTTTCACTGGCGATAATGTAGCACTATTAGTGGTTTGTAAAATAAATGAAGGCTAACGTCTCAAAATATGATGCATTAGGATAAAAGGGACAAAGGTACTTAACCTCAGTACATGTCATGCCTTAGCTTTGCAGGGCTGTAGCATGAGAAGTAACATAGGTAAGTAAAATTTGCTTCTACCTATATAGGCAAAACTGAACGTGTTTTTAAAGCCATACAATACTATTCTGTAATTAGAATCTCCAAAATGCTAATTTTTATCACAGACAAGAAGAAAATTATTTTACAACTACACAAGGAAATGGGACCCAATTAACAGGAGAATAATGACACCGCACTTATATGTAGCCAGTATATTCTGAAAATGAAGCATAAACCCATGTTTTTCAACTGGAGGTCTTTTGCTGGATGCTTAAATGCACAGTTTTCATGTATTTTTTCTTGTTTTTTTTTCTCTGTTTTCTCTATGAAAATCAAGCTCTTTGCATAATTATCCACACCTCAAAGATATTTACATTTTAAAAGCCAATCCTTCACCTTCTGATTTTAAAATGAGTTATGCTGCATCTTGTATATTTTAAAAAAAGGTCCAGAAAAAGCTTAGAATTGTAATTCAGAATCTGTACTTTGTAAAAATACTTCCCTTGAACATGAAGTCAGTGCTGACCTCTTCAGGTCATTTGTGAATAATAAAATCTTTCTAAAGTAATGTTACTTAATAAGAACTGAGTGAAAACATAAGATGAAATACATTACCCCTGTATTGTAAAGTGTTGCCACTTTAAAGTACAGTATAGGTTGAAGAAAAACACAGAGGTGTGTATATCAAAATATATTTTCACTATGATTCTACAGAATACATGAAATCTTTCAATACTCTGTCTGCCAAAGGCAATACAGTCTTTCTGGCTTTGTTAGTACTGCTATAGTATACAGGTTTCTTAAAGTACAGTTAGTACCTATAGAGGTCAATTCTAACACCTAAATGTGTGCTATGCTTCATATGGCAGAAGGATAAGCATAGAAAAAATTTATGACATTGATTTTAAAGAAATTGTACATCACACAGTGTCTTTAATTCTAAACATAGAAAATAAGACTGTACTTGAAGTGGTTGTTGTTGTTGTAGTATGACTTAAATGTTTCTCAGATGTCAAGAAGGTCCTCTCCACTCTCATCACTCTCCACAGTTAATTGTCTTGTCCACCATTTCTTGACTTCTGATCCACAAGAAGCAGCATCAGACATAGGATTCATTTTGCATGCAACAGATTTCATAGTTGAACGTCCACCAAAACGGAGGTTGACTGAAGACACTGAATGGCTTAGTGGTTTGGGGGCTATGAAATCAAACAGAAAGTTCTGTATTAGAGTAGATCTGCTTCTTGAGCATTTTTGCTTGGAATTCACGTATACAGAACTAGCTGGAGTGGGGGCACCTTCAAACTGATTTACTGCAAAAAGAGTAAGGATCTTTTCTAATGTTGTTGTGGCTTTTTGTTTGGGTTTTTTTTGTTGCTGTTTTTTGTTTCTTTGTTTTTTTCCCATCTCTCACTGTTCACACTGCTCCCACTAATCTGCTGGTAGAGCAGTTTAATGGAGCAGTCCCTCATTTCCTTCTGCTGGAATAACTGATCCAAGAGACGTCTTCCTATCTAGCTAATTGCAGCCTAAATATTTTAGGCAGTACTTACATGAGCTGACCTGCTGGCAAAATGGTTGAAGTGGTAAATGTGAGGAAAAGGGGAAGAAAAATGCTTTTAGGGTTGGCAGTTGCACCTAGAAAATGATACTTTACTATGGCCTAGGGGCTGAAGCCAGTACAAGGTGCTGGTATGGCACTAAAACATGTCTAATTATATAAACCCCACAGTTGATCTTAATTATGCTATTCATGATGCTAAATACATGTCTTTGTTGGACTGGAGGCAGACTACTTATCTGTTGGGCTGTACTATGCATGGAGATGACCCTCCTTTTTAGGACTATCCACTGAGGAACATTCAAGATTGACATGGACCAGGTCAGTGTTAAGAAAGGAAAAACTGAGCTCCTCATTCTCACTTGAAAAACCTGTCCAGTTGGCTACAGCAGTATGATTCCTCTTTAGCAAGCTTCCTCTTTCACTCTTTCTCTCTGTTCCAACAAAATGTTGATCTTTGATGCTCAGTGATATTTACTTGGAAAACATGAGCTGCAAGCTCTCTATTAAACTATCCTGTTTCTTGGACAAGTACACTGGTCACAAAAGTAGGGTCAATGGTAGTCAATAGAATAGCATGACTATCTCTTCCACTTAGGTATGACTGGGGTCTGAACACTGGCAGCCTTTGAAGGCAGCACTCTGACTCAGAACAGGACTGACTGATGACAGCTGAAAGCAGGTTGATGTGCTGCTTGTCATGGGTGTAGCAGGCTGTAGAGGTCAATATACACTTTAAGAGAGACTATTTGAGGTGGGGGAGACACGGACTCTTGAAATACGGACTTAATAAGGCATCAGACTGTAGCTATGCACCTCTCCCACCCTCCTATAAGCACCCTCCTCTATAGCCTAGCCTTTTTTGTTCTAGTGGACTGTAGTTACTAGAGTAACCTGTTTCTGAGAAAATAAATGGGAAACTGATTGTACACATGGCCAATTCCTGTCTGAAGATCTAAAAATGTATTACGGTTTAAGTTATAAATCATACATCTGGCATGCTTAGACAAGACAAGACAGTCAGAAATTATTACTGTTGTTAGGAAAAAAATTCATTTTCACCATACTTCACATGACAAAAGAGAACCCTAAATGCACAAGATGCTATCCAAACATACGGGTCGGTACAGTCCCCAATCCAAAGGTCCCGAATAAATGAAAAAGTAAAAAATGCAACCACCTGCACAGGGCAGTGCTTGAGTCCATCTTCCAGACTTTCAGAATTGTGAAAAAGGGGAGAAGCTGCTTTGTTGTAACAGCCATGAGGGTAGGAAAGCCCTGATGTAGGTGTAAGCAGCAGCCAGGGGGCAGAACTGTGAACCACGAAGCCTCTCATGGCCTTGTTATTGTACAGCAGCAATTTTGCATGTAAGGACTCTACTGATAAACCTTCTTCACTTACCCGATGGCAAGCGCCATTGTCCAAATTTACGCTGAGGTTTCCCAGCATCTCCAGAGTCTTGTCGATAGCCACCTCTGTCAGAAAGTGTGGGGCTAAGGAGCTGCTGCTGGCTACTCGTCTGAACAGAGACAAAAGAATCTCAGTCATAGTTCCCCACTGCATGGGTATAATCCTAAGGGGGGTTATTTTTCTATCCTATTTCAAGCTTTTTCCATGAATAAAACAAAACATATTGCCATTTGTTAAGGTAGCATGGTTTCTATTCTTTAAAGCCCCAGAAAACTACTAACAGACAAATGTAAAATGGGCTCAATGCCACTGTTCAGTCCCATTGAAGGGTACGAAATTATTCTCAGCCTTCTACATCCACTGTAGAAAGTAGCCCTTATGCTGTACTTTTTGGGTTCCCCAGCCTGGAAGAGCCTAGGGCTCCTGCTCAGAGGACACAGCATGACCAGTATTACCTCTCTTAGTGTGAACACTAGTTCAGGATGCCTGAACTGGAAAGCTTCACATCCCCAAGCCTGTACAAAGCTCATGCTGGAGCTGAAGGCTGGTGCTGTCAGAATTGTACAACTGCCCTTTATAGTGATAGCAAGACAGCTAACTATGTTGGGGAATTACTGCCTTAGACCATCTTGCCTTTACATCTGACAGCAAAGACCAAATCAAAACAAGGTATTGCTTTCAACTCTTTCAGTTAAAATGGTGTTTTAAAAAAGAAGAAATAAGAAACAGGGAAGTTTTTTGAATTTGTTATGAGTAGCTGATAGTTTTCAGTTTAACATACCTCTGGCTGTGCACTGTTATCTTGATTAATAGCATTCATATCTTCACTTGGCTGTGTTGTCTCAATGCTGGGAGGATTCAGAAATCGGCTCAACTCCTGCTGTTGACTCTCTCGCAGACTATGGATAATGCTGCACGACTGCTGTTGTTTCTATCAAGGCACAATATGTGATGAAAAAAATTCTCATTGGTGTGTCACAGTGTTTGATTTTTTTTTAAATTATTCTAAATATTTAACTGAACAGCCAGATGTGGATCCCAGGTGCATCAATAAAGATCCATGTGTCAGACGTTGCTATTTAAATAAAGTGACTTCCAGCATATTTCTAACCTTTATATAGGGAATAGAGGATTAAAATCAAGAATTATATTAAGTGGAAGGCATGTTGCTCAACTGTTGGTTTAAACCTACAGTTTAAACACACACAAAGTTTCTAATTGATGAGTTAAAGTTCTTCCAAAAATAAGAAACAAGGAAATTGTTAGAGATTCACAGGAAATTACATGAAGGCAATGAAAAAATTCTGATTTCTTTCATGGACTTCGGAACAGGCTGCTAATAAGACTAAATAAAATTGTAGTGAAAACCTTGGGACTAAGTATAGATTTATAGGACAAACAGAAAAACAAACCTACCACCATTATGATCTTACAATCTAATTTGCTTTTAAATTAAAATAAACAGCCTTTAGGAAGGTTTTCACTTTCCTGGGTAGTTTTCACATGCTCTCTCTAGAGACACTTGGAGAATAACAAGAGAATTCGAAAACAGATATTAACTTCCATAATTACATTCAGTTTATAAAAGGTTCATATAATGTGAAATGATCTGAACCATATTATTGGAGTGAAATGAATAGCATATTTACTTTAACATAGTGTAGTTCAGTATCATAATGAAATGAACAACAGAGTTGAACAAACCCAGAACTGAGAGCTGAGACTAAATTTACTGCCATTGTTATTCATATACAGAGATGAGATAAAAAATGAAACTATGTATCATTGAACACTGAGGTTTCAGCTGGAATGTACATTACATTCAAAATGTCCTGTTACGATTTTTTATACAGATTGCTGTGGAAAACCTTCAATCACAAGAAGTAATTTTTTATAGAAATAAAAAATATATGTGTCAAAAGCTGGACTCAGACTTACAGGAACTGAAAAATCAGTCATCAATGCAACCAGGTTGTGATTTTTTATATAAAGGAAGAGTTGGTTTTGGAAGACAACATGAGAATAACTGCAAAACCTAAACAAAATTTTTTGATTTTTTTTTAATATAAATTTATCCAAGCCAAACTTCAACCAGCATATATTGTAGCTATCCTGAGCAAAGGTAAAAATGTTTCTGACAATCAGAAGCACTTCATAAACAGAACACAGAAGCACTGGCTAGGTCTATATGGGTAAGTTAAAGAGACTGGGACTGCCTGCAGTGCTGAAGCCAAGTGACAGGCCAGGACTTGTGTGATCTGGCTAAGCTTCTCTCTGCCTCTAGCTTCAACCACTGCCTACTGGCAGTGGTCTCCACCCTGATATGCCTGGAGGACAGTGATGCTCCTACAGCGGTGGTCTGGGAGACCATATGGCAGTGGTCTGGGGGTATATGAGTACGCATAGGCCAAAACTGGCCAAAACTGTGCTGAAGGACATGCTAATGGGTGATCCCATCCCAGCCCTGAGCCAAGCCCTTGTCTCTGCTTAGTTTACTGGCTACACAGCTACGGTGTGCCATGGTTCATATACCTGCTTTGCATGTACACATACTGCTCATTTGCACACAAAATAACTGTAATGGCTCACTCAAATGATTTATCGTAATACAGGTATCATTTGAAGAGTCATTTTCAGGTGACAGATCTACCAGCAGAGGCAAGGAAATTATACAATTACATTCTGTGAGGCGGGATTAGGCCTATGAAGTTTCATCAAATTATATTGTTTTTTTCTTTATTCCCTTGACTTTGGTCTCTGCACATGCCTCTTCCTGCTCTATCGAAAATACAGATAGATTTTTGTCAGGAAGACAGGTTTTGCCTTCAAAAGATGCTTATTTTTGTTGCACTTTCAATTGAGCTGTAACATACATTTTTTTGCTGAGTTAGCAAATGCTACATACTTCTTCAAAGAAGTATTATCATGACTCCAGAGCAAACGAAGCACAGTGGCAGCAAATTCCAGCAGTGTTGAACAGTACAATTTATGCAACCATTTAGATCCTGGTTTTGCTTGACTTACTGCTCTGATTCGCTTTAAACACTTCTTCAACCACATGCGTATGGTCTGTTTGGCCACCTCCTCTTCTATGGTATATTCCAGTTGTTCCCTAGCAAGCAGCTCTTCCAGTTGAAGACTTTTTCTGATATCAACAGACCTATATGAAAGCATGCTGGAAGAAACACAATTTATTTATTTTTAAATGCTGGTGTCATTACATTTTAATCTAGAAAATCAAACTTCATACTTGAGACCTTAGTGCAAAAATACATAACTAGGGTGTGTGCAATAAATTCACATTTGATGCCAAAAAATTGCTGAGATGATTCCAGAAGAGACTTGTGGTGCTCAAAACAAAGACCTTATCACCTACATGTAGCTATTGAAAACAGGTGAGCTGCTGAACTGTGAGCAATTAGGGCATTTGTGGTGGTGTTTTGGTTTTTTATTTTTTTCCCCCCTAAGTGTTTACGCTTGGATAATGTTCCCATTTCTATTTTATTTCCAGTCAGGCTCGCTGTCATGTTGCTACACTTGAAGGTGCAGCATTTCATTAGAAGGATACAAGAACAATATGTGACTGCTGTTTGTGACAAATTGCCTCCAACGAAAATCTTAAAATACTTAGAGCTGATTCCCTAGGACCTGTGTTTTCCATCACTAATATTTTTGCAGGAAAAAAAGAGAAATCTAATTTTTGTACTGCATTTAAAATTGCAGTGCCTCTGTGGCTACCAGTCTTGCCTTTTCCCAAGTCTAATGACTACCTGTTAGCCTGGAGAGAAACACAGGCCATTATATATCTTCTAAAAATGTAGAGAAAATCTCAGGGTACCTGAGCACATCATGAAAAGTGACATCACCACCATTGTGAAGCCGCTCCATTTCATAGCACATGTGCTTGAACAGCAGCTTGTCCTTGTCGAGATCCACCTCCAGCCTGCCTCGCAGAAGCCTCAGCAGAAATTTCACTCTGAAGGTAGGGATTACCCCCTGTGTAAAATTGCATAATAGATGGTAAATTATTGCTGCGACCTAACAACCAGCTCAGACATTCAACTTGATCAGTGAGAGAAACACGATTTCTCCAAAGACTCTGTGCCTAATCCTAGCCTATTTAAGTCACTGTGAATACATTACTGAAAAATATGCACATGAAGCCAGCTCTTCAGCACATTCACAGAAGTCTTTGCTGTTATTTGACTCATATACAGTCTATGTTGGTTATTTTGCCAGAAATTTTCAAAATTGCCTGGGGATTGAGTTTTTCCATTTGCATTCATCTGTAATGAGAATCATATGCCTGAAGAACTGACTTTGAAAAATGGAAATTAAACTACAATTTAAACACTCACAGCCAAGCCTATAACTCACTGTAAACCTGTTCCCTTCTCTGCATCTTTGGACAGGAGAATGTTGGGAGTTTTTATTTTATTCTTTTTTTAGGACTCAAGGTACTTCCCTTTGAAACTGTGGTACTCATAATATTCAAATGGTTTTTTCTACTGAATAAGCCTGACCGGAACTATTTTTGCTGTAATGTGTTGTTCCACATCAGAGAGATAGTGTCAGTGCTGGGCACAATGGATCCAGAACTCTTTACCTCTATCAGTACCTCTATCAGTATCAGCAGCTTCCATCTCCAGCACAGCCATGTGCCAACTACAAGGAGTCAACTTGTTTCACTGCCATGTTGTTCATGTTCAAATCTTAGTGATGTCATGAATCATTCAGATAATGACTTAATTTGTGTGAGCATCTGAACACCTCAGTCTCCCAGATGTTATTCTTACTCCAGAATCACAGAATGGTTGAGATTGGAAGGGATCTATGGAGCTCACCTTGTCTGATTCCCTCTGTTTAAGCAGGGCTTCCTAAAGCCAGGACCATGTCCAGATGTCTTCTGAATATCTCCAAGGACAAAGACTCCACAATCCCCCCTGGGAAACCTCTGACAGTGCTCAGTCCCCCTTACAGTGAAAAAGTGTTTCCTGATGTTTAGAGGAAACCTCCCATATTTCAGGATGTGCCCATTGCCTCCAGTCCTGTCACTGGGGAGCACGGGGCAAAGCCTGACTCTGTCCTCTTTGCAACATCCCTTCAGGTATTTGACAAGCTGCCCCTGAGCCTTCTCCAGTCTGAACAGTCCCAGCTCTCCCAGTCTTTTTCCTCACAGGAGACATGCTCCAGTCCCTTCATCTTCTTTGTGTCCCTTTGTATGTCTGTGTCTTTGTGTACAGAGGAGCCCAGAATTGAACCCAGGACTCCCGGTGTGGCCTCACCCGGGCTGAGTAGAGTGGAAGGACCCTCTGCCTTGGCCTGATGGCAATACTTTGTCTAATGCAGCCCAGGATACCACTAGTCCTCTTTGCTGCAAGGGCAATGGTGGCTCATGTTCAACTTGGTGTCCACCAGGACTCCCAGGTCCTTTACTGACAAGCTGCTTTCCAGTTGGGTGGCCTCCAGCATGTACTTTGCCCTGGTTTATTCTTCTCCAGGTGCAAGACTGCATTTTTCCTTGTTGAACTTCACGAGGCTCCTGCGAGCCCATTTCTCCAGCCTGTCGAGGTCCCTCTGGAAGGCAGCACAACCCTCTGGTTCATCAGCCACTCCTCCCAGTTTGGTGTCATCAGCAAACGTGCTGGGGGCGCCCTCTGCTCCATGGTCCAGCTCATTAATGAAGATGTGGAACAGGATTGGACCCAGTACTGACCCCTGGGGTACACAACTAGTTACTGGCCTCCAGCTAGAATCTGTGCTGCTGATCATCACCCTCTGGGCCTGGCTATGCAGACAGTTTTCAGTCCACTTCATTGTCTTCTCACTCAGCCCATACTTCATCAGGCTCTCCATAAGAATCATACAGGAGACAGTGCTGAAATCTCAGAAAGCTCTCCCAAAGATCAGACACATAAATAGATATGAATTTGTAGACTTTCAAGGGGACAACTCTTTGGAAGCTGTGTGGAAAGATGCTATTATATTAATCCTTTAAATAGGTATGTTTGTTTGCAAATCTGCTACTATAAGTACTTCACAGAATACACGTTAGTATTTGAAGGGTCATGAACAACTTCAGATCATGCTCACTGAACTTCTAAAATCTAACCTCTCAGTGAGTTTTGCCAACATACTTTGTTTTCCCCATACTTTCTTACAAGGAAAGCTGGAAATTTACTAGATTTCTGTGATTATTATCAAATGTCTTACCTCTCTTTTGTCATCAACCATGTTCCATATAATTTGAAAATGCCTAAGATCATTATAACTTAGAAGCTGGTCTTCTTCGGTTGAGTAAAACAATGAGAAATTCTCCACAATGATAGCTGAAAACCACAAGAACAAAATACACCACAAAGAATGCCTGTAGTTACATTCTAACTGGTTAACATCTAATTCTATTGTGCCAACTTCATATTAATAAATGCCTGTATGTTCAGACAAGGATTTTGAATGCACAATATACCATTATGCCACATCAATATTCACCATGCTCACTTTTTAAAAGCTGTATTTTAAATGCTGGTGAGATCCTAACCTAAAGTTCTAATATCAATTAAGTGAATTCCAATGATGTTCAAAAAATATTAACTGAAGAAAGAAAAGCTCAGAAAACAGTATTTCATAGGGAAACTGTACTCTACAAATACAACATATTCATCCAAAAAGCTTACATTTCCAAACTTCCTGAGTTTTAGCATACACCATACCAAAGAAGTATCAAAACCATTATACTCATACAAGATAACACTGGAAGTACAAGGTAGCCTCATACCTGAATAGCACAACAGACTCACATCTAGCACACTATATGCCAAGATGGACCTTACCTTTTTGTTATTAATGCATATTTTCACTTACCAACAAGCAAGTTTAGCATGATGTATGCAATGATGACATAGAAAGAACAGAAATACATAAGAGCACCAGCATAATTTCCACAGTCTGTTTTCCAGTAGGTGCTGTTATCTGGTGTGCAAAATGGAGGCTGAACCTTCATAACAAAAGAAAATAAAGTAAAATGTTTCTCTGCAAACAATACAATAATTAAGACTATTATTTCTTTAAAGCTTCCCAAATAGGGAATAATACTGTGGGCATTATTGTGGGCAGGGCACATTTGCATTATGCCACTGTACAGAAATAACCTGGTGCTCTGAAACATGGTGCTTTTCAGAAATCTTCCTTCCTGGTCATTAATTTTAAAAAGGAAAGGCATATGATTTTCTTTGCAATGGAAAGCACAGACAAACATTTACTTATAATGATTTGAGGATTAATTCTGAGGTCATCAAGACTATCATTATCATGGACTGAACCTAAGTGCAGGCATTAAAGAAAAAGTTAATCTGAAAAGACATCTTGCCCCAGTCAAAGAAGAGATAAGAGTGAAAAAGTAAGTTTTTACACTTCTGATTTTGAAACATTTTCATTTGAAAATGAAATTGTTTCATTTTTGTTTTTAAATCATCTAATAGCCTAGCTCCAAGAAATACTACACTGTGAGTATGGGATTGGAGCTGCAATGTGTGTGTCATGTTCTGAGGTTTAGTGAACATTACATCTCTTGAAGAGACAAAGGCAAGCACAATATTCCTTCTACAAAGCTAAGATAGTGATAGCAGTTTGAGATGGAAGGGTGTATCTAATTTCTTGTCTACTTTAGCTCTGGCAGCATTGTAATTACCATGCAGTCATGCATAATTTTGTTCCAGTCTTCTCCAGTAACTATTCTGAAGAGTACAGTAATAGCCTTGCCAGCTGATGAAAAATTTGCATGTCTGTTTTAAAGAAAAAGAGAGAGAGAGATTGTTTCACTTTCCAGAAATAAAACATTGGAAAGAAAAAATGTTTCCAGTTTCTACTGTTCTACTATTTTAAACTAAAAATAGTTACAGTATCATTTGAATGAGCTCATTGAATTATTTATTTCATGACTTAAGATATAATAACTGAACTCTAGCTCAGATATGGGTCTGAGTATTTTAGTGCATTTTATTTAGAGCTAAAGCAAACTCAAGGCCAGATCCTATTTCCTGTCTCCATTTTCTTCTATAAGCTTGATGATGACTGGGAAATCTCCAGTTAACAGCCAGTTCATAGAACTGTCTCCTCTCTGTATCAGCCTGGAATATGGATCCTGTTCTTGGGTGATGCCAATAAGATACACCGTGTTTCAGCAGCTTGCGGGTTAGCGCGGTGCTGCTTTGAAGCATATTCCAGCTGGCATAATGAAGAACAGCTCTCAGTCTGCTCTGGGTTGGATTAGGTGTCATTTGGGCCAATGCACAAGGACTGGAAAGACGGCTCAGCATCAGAATAGGATGCCTCCTATCAGAAATTCTGTTTAGAACTCTTCAGCTAGACCTGGAGAATTGTCTGTTTTTTACCATGGATAAACTTCTCTCTAGCAGAATGTGATTTCTTCAGGCTGCTTAAAGAACATCCCCACAAGGCAGGAAGTACACACTGTACCTGTTAATGTTCTCTCCATATTTCACTGTACCAAATAAAACCACTCCAGCAAAAGCATAACAAAGAAGCAGTAAGAACATTCCCACTATGATGAAGAAACTCTTGTACATGCTGACAACCACAGTAAGGAGCAACATTTTTAGTGTCACCTGGAAGGACAGAGAAAAAACCATCTATGATGCCATTCAGGAAAGCAAAGAAAAAAAGAAAAGACAGTTCTTGCACTTGCCATTTGACAATAAATTCTTTACACACGTACATTAATGGATGAGCCCAGTAAAAAGGTAGGTTATAAATCTGATTTGAAGTGTATGTCATTTTTACTTCTTGTAGACATCAGCATATCTTCATCATTTACAAGGTCATTTACAACTCCTCAAAAAGTATATATAAGATAATACAGCTTAGGATAATACAGTGAAAACATAGCATAAGCCTAACTATAATATTCTAGAATCAGTATACTCCTGAAGTATCAGAACTAGCATTGCATGAACAGTGGTGCAGTAAACTACTCTGAGCTTATCTGAAAGTGATTCTAACTGTTAGATAGAAACTACAGATACTGCAGCCTACTTAAAGGAATGGGTTGATGTATAGAGAAGGGGATTTCCTTAAGATTAGTGCAGCTTAATTAAACTATTAATTTCTCATGCAAGTTTGTGAAAGACCAGGGAGACTTTCTAGTATCCTTCCAGTACCTAAAGGAGGCCAACAAAAGAGCTGGAGAGGGACTTTTTGCAAGGGCATGTAGAGACAAGACAAAGGCAAATGGCTTTAAACTGAAAGAGGGAAGGTTTAGATTAGATGTTAGGAAAAAATTATTTACTGGGAGAGTGGTGAGGCATTGGAACAAGCTGCCCCAAAAATTTGTGGATGCCCCATCCCTGGAAGTGTTCAAGGGCAGGTTGTATGGGGCTTTGAGTAATCTGGTCTAGTGGAAGGTGTCCCTGCCCATGGCAGGGGGCTTGGAACTAGCTGATATTTAAGGTCCCTTCCAACCCAAACCATTCTGTGAGTCTATGATTCTGCAAAGTTGGCCATAGAGTTTAAGATGAGAACATAATTTTGGAAATTACACAGGCCGTAGGCCTAGATTATAGCTATTACTTTCTCATGCATATATTGTCCTGACACCCTTAACTGCTTTGGATGTGATGGAAAATTCCCTTTAATGGGACCGAGGGAGTCAGTTTTCCTTATAATCAAGCCAAATTCATGCTGACCTTTAGTCATCACATTGCAACAGAACAGGCAAATTAGTGAAACTCATACAGCTCCTAATGTGAAAGCACAAATGACTAGGTTAACACCTTGAAAAAAAACTTTAGAATCAATCTGAAACCTTTGAAGGCAATCACTTGGTCTGGATGCATAGGAAAAGCAAGGATTTTTCATTTGACTTCCAAGGCTCTTCAGGCTCCGTGTAGTTTGACTGAAAGAAAACTTTTTCCCTCTACTGAACAAATCCTTTGACTTACTGTTCTTAACCCCAGCAACCTAGTACAGCAGTCTTTTCATCACATTTACTTTAATATGTCAGACTTCACAGAAGACATTTGGATAGTGTAAGAAGTTCCACAGCAAGGGAATGCAGTGTCACCACTTGTTAAATAAATGTGTTTGTTCTCTGCCTATGCTTATTCTGCCTGTCTACTCTCAATTACACCAGAGAAAATCCAAACACAAAAGAAATGTAAACTTGAGAAGTGACTTGCTTTATAACCATGCAAGTGTTTCCAGAACATCTTGGCCCAATACTGTTTTAAAATTGAACCTAAGTCCTTTACCATGATAAGACATACACTTTAGAGACAAAAGACACAGACCTGCACTCTGGAGGAAAAAATTTCTGTAAAAGAGCACTATCATAATAAGATGAATGCATCAACCACTACTACTGTAGTCTTGCAGCAAAAATAAATAAATAGCATGCACATCACACTGCACTGAAATGGCAAGGGCTGAAAGTAGCGCAGTGTATGTTCAGAATTGCAGAAAGCATTTTTAAAACTGTGGTATTGCAGGGGCACTTTGTTTTCTGAAAAAAATGCAACTTCTCCAGTAAGCATAATAGAACACTATTATACAATATACCTAAAATCCTGACATTTTAAAGACAGTATGTAAAGTTGGAGACTGCTGCTTGAAGTCTCCTTTTTTTTTTCTTTGCCTACAAAATGGAGCCCTACAGATTTTGCTTTAGAGATGCATAGCATCTAGTCCTTTAACCTATACCTGAGCACTTCAATAGCTGTAGTTCCTAATTAATACTTACGTGCTTTCCACAAATTGAGAAAAACCTGAAGACAATTACACATGCCCCCATCATGTATGTGTACGCATTCTGGAACACAAACACAGAAGACTTAATACATTGTGCCCCAAGGATTTCTTGGAAAGATCATGACAATTGATCTTTTAACAATATAGGGCAATCCCCATATAAAATAAGAGAAATCATAAACTAGTAGCAACAATATCAAAAAACCCAAACCCAGCCTCTCCACACATCAAACCAAAAAACCTTCAATCCTCTATTAATTATGTCCATCAGGCCCAGTCTACTTGTCTAGGCAGCCACTGGATTACAGAAAATCCTCAGGCCTTCCAAGCAACTTAGCAGCAGGGGGCAAACTGTGAATGTCAGGGCAAAATGTCTAGTCACAGAAGACAGGTTTTCTTTCAAACAGAGCTTGGGGCAGACAAGAGAGAATCCCACAGCCATTACAGGGTTGTCACTTTGACAACTTGTGATCGATGACAAGTATCAACCATCCCTTCTCCTTCCCTTGTAAATAAAAGAAACAGGAGTGTATTTAAATTTAAAAAACTGGTGTGGGATGGAGGGAGAGCTGATTTCCTCCCCTCTCCTCCATGTCTTCTTGGATTAATCATCCCCCCTTAACCAAAACCAGTGGTACAGAATCGCTGGTGGGTTTGGGACAGTCTATATTGTTCAGCAATTTTGAACCAATGCTTTCTTCCAGTCCTTTGCTCCCATTTGCATTCTGTGCATTGCCTCTTTCTTCCTTCTTTGCTCATGAGACTGTTGTTGGCAAGAGCTCTCAGTCTCTTCAGTCTCCTTCCTTTTCTCAGTCACATTACTCCTAAAGACTTGTTTTCTACCACATTTACAAACTCTTAACTCATATCAGTAAGACAACCTTTGCACTACATCGTTGTCCATGACAGTGATTCCTTCTTAGCATCAAGCTTAATGTTCTTCAGCCGTATTTCAGCCTTATTAAACTCCTGAGGGTTTATCTCAATGTATAGCAGCAATCCTACTGCTGGTGCTTAACAGATGAAATCACTTTAATCACTGCAATTTCATTCTGTAAATCTTACCAGTAGGGCAAAGTGAAGTATCACCCATATAACTCCAAGAGATGTCACCAAGAGATCATACCGATTTCTTCTGCTTTGCCAGAAGCCAGAAGGTGACATTGCAATAATCTTCATTGTGACCTAAGGATAAAAGAAATTAAAACTTCTAATGAAGAAATGGTTATTTCTTGCCATAAGGTTCCTCTTCCACTCTCTAAAATGTTTGATTGAGTTTATCAAACAATCAAGGACACATTTCACATCAGCTAAATGTTCCTATGTGGACTAACCAAATAAACCAGATACTGATGTAAGGTGATGTATGTAGAGGGAACACAAGAGAGCTTCTCATACACAATTTGTATAAAACCTCAAATCAAGTTAAGAACTACTAAATAAAGACCATAAATGTCAGGGATTCATTACATTATTTTTTCCATTCCACCTTGCAACCCTGCCATTTAATATTTTGGAAACCTAAACCATATATAATGTTGAGGCAAAAGGCTGACTTTCCAGGTAGTTTTTTGCCTTATAATGTTTTCCGAAGCCTGACTACAGAATGAACAATATGGTCTCTGAATTTCTAATTGTGATTTGAGGTATCTGAAAATATCTTGCCTCCTTCTACCAAGTTAGCTGAGGTGCCCTAGAGAACTGGAGATAGATGCATGGGGCTGGAAGGGATGACAGAAGACCTGTAAACATCCCTACCTTTCTGCAGTGGCTAGTGGAGGTAACTGAATCTCACCCTTCATCTTCCTTGATCACAGTTACAGCTTAAACACCTACCTCGAATATGGAATTTAAGCACCTAAACTCAGGTACCTACAATCTTGAACTGAATACCACACCATGCAAATAAAAAACCCCACATCTACCTTTATTCTGTCATCATCAGTGTGGTAACAAAAGTGAGATCTTCAAATTCTTCCTGTTCTTCTATACCACATATACTGATGTGAGCAGTAGAGGTTTAAGATTGAATCAGGAGTCGTTAGATTAGACATAGAGCTGTTAGCTATGCAGAAAGCTTCCTCATGGATCATGCCTGCTAGTGGTAGCAGACCATGTACATAGCAGATTCTGTAACAAGACAATGATGCCTTAGGGAAGATCCTGGGCAGGAAGCTGCTTTGTCTCCATAAATGGTGTGCACTCACAGTGTGATAGCTTGCCTGTTGAGACAACCAACCGATTTTTTTTGGCTCTGACAAAGTTCCTTTGAAATTCTACAAGTGTGTTTGTTTCCCCTGACAGTATAAGAGAAAAAAGTAATTCCAAAGACACAGTTACTTGGTAAATTAAAACCTGCCTGCATATGACACAAAACTTTTCTGTGTTGCTCAGTCTCCCTAGAGATACTGATTTCTCCTGGGTAGGGAAAAAAAAAAATCAACAACGTGGCCATACTCTAGCTACAGCTAGTGTATACAAGCTATTCACTTCATTGTTTATTCATCACTGCTGGCAAAACCTATCAGTGGAACATAGGAACTGTCATTGGATTAGAGCAGTGGGAAACATGGTCTACTATCCTGTTTCTGATAGTGGTCAGTATCAGCTATGTAGAATGGACTGACAAGAAAAGTAGTCAACCACAAACTTATAAAGAATTGTGTACTAACCTAACTACAGAGGAAGCATCTTCTTTAACATCATAAGTGTGTGCTTTGTTACACTACGGATATCCTTACACATTAAAAAATATATGCATTTCAAAATGTGGCTAAATCATTAGATTCCAATCTTACGCAAATAGGCTAAAGACACCTTGCACAGTTGTTTGTAATAACAATATTCTCATAGAAAGAGAACTGCTACCACACAGGAGCCAGATCTGTGCCCCAAAAGACAGACAATATGGACATAGCTTATTAAAGTATTAAAATGAAGTATGATACTTAAACCAAAACAAAACAAAACTGAGAGAGGTTTGATGATGTCACAGATACAGAGTAGTGGGGATTAATGCACCAGGCAAAATAGAACCGGATCAAGCAAAACTTCCATGAGACAACACAGATCTTGTGTTATACAGAGGGAATTTAATCTGAGATGTTCTGCAAGAAAAGAGTTCACTGGGTTCACCAAAACACACTTTTAAAGGCTCAGACTTGAATATATATAAAAGGACACAAAGCTCAAGGCTGTAGAAAAGTATGACTATGATACATTAAAAGTTTCTTCTTATAATACATATTTAAAGACAAGTGACATGGAGAACTCCGAATGTACAAGTTCAGAAGTAAATACCATAGTGAAGAATGAGACAGATTTCCTAAAGACAAAATGAAATATGTACCTATGAGGCTTAATCTCAAGAAGTCTCAAAATATATTACTTTACCTCGAGGACAAAAATGAAGGTGAAAACAACGGACATTGTTGCTAAAGGTACAGTCACTGGATCTGCAGCATCCCACTGAAATGCAAACAAAATCCATTCATAGAAGAGTAGTTGTTAAACAGAATAAATGCCTCTTCATTGCCTTAACTTTTCTTGAAGGTTTTGTTACTGAATAGATTTCACTTTAAAATATGCTCAGACAGGAATGGCATCTTGGTATATTCTTCTCTTGTAGATTTATAGAAATTAAAAATAGTGGATCAGACCACAAAAAGGCACAAATTGACTCAGCTCTAAAAGTTACAATTAATCTACAGTGATCTGCCCCAACTGAGATTGTTGTATCTAGAAATAAAATTTCCTTACATTCATCACAGTAATGGCTCAGTTGATGCTTAACTGGTGTTAGGAAATGTGCAACACATGCTGTACTACTATAAAGAAACACTTAAAAAAATCACAATTACCTTAACAGATAACAACACAGACTGCGCCAGAACAAGTACAGCAATAGTTCTCTTAAAGAATGGGTGCTGAGTTATGTCATACATCTTAGCTCTAAAGCCATCATTATCTGAAAAAAAAAAAAAAGAGTTCGAGGAGGAGAGTTAAAATACACAATGGCATTTTTCCCCTACTTCTGAACATCAAAATATATTTCTAATTTTCTGCTACAATTTTCCATATCAAATAGGGCTTCTGAACATCTAATTTCAAATACTGAACACCAGTGTTGCATGAAGGTTTTGGTACTTTTAGTGTAAGTGCATCGTTCAACTGCTGTCAGGTTAATACATTCCATTCATATCACTACAGCCAACTGCAAACATTTTTCATTTAGAAATTCATTTTATCATTAAGGCTTATCCTAAAGCCATCGAAGCAGAACCTTTTTTGGGTTGATTTTAATAGCCTTATGGAGAGATCTGTAGTTGGAGCCTGTTTCAACATTAACTTATGCACAACCTCCTAGTGGCCTCACGATTACAGTTTTAATTTGAATTGCAGATTCCTGGGGAATTACGAACACTAGGGCTTAACATGTATAAAATCAAAATATCTTTGATACCCGGACGAGGTGGGAGATGAAGAGGTTGTGCTATCTTCAGTCTGCTTTTCAGATCTTCCCATCGTCTCTGATCTACAGTCAGTAAAGCTGTCCCCTTAATAAACAAAGAGAAGCGTATAAAGCTTTTGTCATTTAACAGCTAGAACATTCAACACTGTAACATGAAAACAACATTCTCTTTGGTGCCTGAAATAAAGTTACATATGCAACTTTCCTTAAATAACACACTGTTTGGGTAAAGGAGTCTGAAGTATCAGCTGTTACTCAAGAGGATTTCTGGATGCATTAGCTGTGTGTTTCCGGAACTCAACTCAGCAGGCACAGTTGTTCTTTGTAGCAGCAGCCCAGTGTGGGCAATGAAACACTGCAGGAGGTCTTCTGTTTGACTGAACATCATTTGCCAGGAAGCACTATTTTAAAGACTGGTCGATTTTGTCTGGACTTTGCAGCAGAAAATCCTGTGGCTTGTCAGTGCCTCTACAGTTTCTCAGGGAACAAGCCCTCCAGGAGACCACTGCTGCTCTGCACAGCTCTTCTGCTTGGGGTGTAATTGAAATAAAATAATAGTATGCTATGAATCTACAAGAGCTCTCCATGGAGGAAGCACAAAGAGAGGTGGAGACACACCCTTAGGGTGGGGTGGTGGTAGCTGGTATGTGTGTAAATGTTCTCATAACACAGGAAGAAACAAGTAGACTACAAACAGAATTCAATGTTATCTAAAATGACCTTCAAAGCAAAGTGAGTTCCTTGTAACTTCAGAGAACTGTAAAATCTCATGGAAGGATTCTAGAGTTACAAAAACAAGGGAGACCTTTTCAAGGTAAGTGTCAAAAGGCTGCTCTCCCCGTTAGAAAGAAGCTGCACTGAGCTGGGTGAGGGCTGGGGTGATCTTTGGGGCTCACCTGGGAATTGGCTTGTTTAGATGCTTGAACTGAGGCTGGCTGTGCAACTGATAAGGTCAGGATTCCTCCCTCTTAGTGGACATAATCTCTTTATGGAACTGTGTCCCCAGACAGCACCCTGGGAAGAGGTGCCTTCCAACACAATCCAGAAAAAGTGATAGATGTAAGGATGCTGACTACTTGTGTCAGGGCCAAATTGTACCATTTAGAAATGCTTAAATTAAAAGGAACTCATTAACCCCAATGAGCATGTCTGGTTTATATTCTTGGAGATCCTTCACTGCCAAAAAGATAAAAGGTGGTAAAAAAGAGTGGACTCCTGTAAAATCTAGAAATAATGGTGCCACGTCGCTTTGCTGCTCAGAGACTGCAGTTCCACAAGTGGGATCATTATAAGGGGACCACAGAGCAGAGCCCTGCGAGTAGGACTACTGCTGGAGGAGCTGTGTTTGCATTTGGACTTTATCACAAAGTGGCAGCTAATATTTGAGTATTGACACATTTGAAGGAAAAGTAATACTGCACAGCTGAACAAGAAGAGGCAGAAGCATCTATAAAAATCCAATGGAATTCTCTGTCAAAATTTAGTGAATAAGAAAATAAATGAATAACACATTGCTCCTTGTTCTCTAGAACAGATACATTTTAACAGGAATGACCACACTTTATCTCACCAAAATTACACTGGAGTTATGCAAATATAAAAATACCTTCAGAATAGCAGAGGTTTTAGGCCATTTATTTGGCTCACAAAGTGTTTGACTCAATTACATGATGCCTTGCTTGCCCATGCTACATGCACAGTAGTGTGCTGCTCAGCTCCCTTCTAGAAGGAGTCAAAGGGTCTTCCCGAAGGACAAACTCCACAGTTGTGTTTGCTACAGAGTTTGGATTAGGGCCATAGCCAGCAACCAGTCTCCAGCATTAGCACACTGGGTTGTTGCACATCTCCACACCCCAGGGTCTGCCACAATCCTTTCTCTCCAGTGGCACGAGTGATAAAAATATCATATCTCATTATTTTTGTCACTTTGAACCAAAAGATGAAAAAAATTAATAATTATGTCTCGATGCCTCAGGGGCACCATAAGAGGCTCAGAAAATCCCTTCAGATTAAGCGTTGGGCAGTCTGTATGCAGCAAATCTATCCAGAGTATTCTATCTCTAACAAGTGTAGACATAAGCTGCTCTGCAACAATTCCCCCAGGGACAAGTTTTTCTATTTCTCAGGGTAATCCAAAAAGCCCATGTGAACTTCTCTAGAAAACTAGCTACCTTTTTGTTTAAGTGATGGACAATTATTTTTACAATGTACTCTGCTGTTTGCCAGGAAAAAGTCACACAGCTTTACTCTGGATATGAAATACTGCAATGGGAGGGCTCTAATGAGACCTCTTAGCTGCAACACATACAAGTATAGCGCATCTTTTTATCTGCCACGGCATGTATGACTACATTAAACTAAACCAGCAGCATCTGTAAATACATTGTGCTTTAGGTTCAGTCTCCATCTAGCAGCATGGCTGCAATATAAATAAACTCAGACGGCTTTGACAGAGTATGTGATGGATTGCTATCATCACAGGTTTCAGTTTTGTAGCAAATATGGATCAGATGGATCTGAAGACTTGCAGTGTTGCAGAATGCAAGATCAGTAAGCCAGTCTTCAAGGTAGCCTTACCAGGTAATGCAGACAGGGTAGTATCAGTTTCAGGTTTCTTACAGAGTCAGTTCTACTGAATAAAATGCCTCACTCAGAATAAGCCACCTCATTCAGTACCTTGTTTTCATTAAAATTAGCGATGACAACTCCAACAAAAAGGGTCAGTCCAATCATGCAGCCAAGAAATACAAAAACGTGAATGTAGATTCCATGGATCTGAATAGACAAAAGTAAGATTGATAGTTAAGACAAATCAAAGGTAGGTGTTGTAGAATTCAAAGGCTTTGATGTGTTTCCTTACCGGCCCAACTCGATGAATAATAACATCTCTGACTTCCACCCAGCCTTTTAATGAAAGAACTTCGAATAGTGCCAGCATTGCATTGCCCACATTGTCAAAATTAAAATTCCGAGGATTTGCCCTGAAATGCAGTACACAAATAGGTGTAACTTCAGCAATAAAGTTGTTCTATTTGATACCTTGATTCTTCATAGACTAACATTTAAATACCCTGCAAAACTGGTGTGAAAGCTTCTGGAACACATCAAAGTTCTGTATCAAGAATAAGAAAACAGTAGCAACAGCAATAAATATTTAAAGCATAATATTTTAGATCCCTATGTATGGTTTATTTTCTTACTCAGAATCTGATTCACAGTAATAAAGCTTAAAATATGTTCAAGGTTCAGGTTGAATGGGGCTTTAAGCAACCTGGTGTAGTGAAAGGTGTTCCTGTCCATGGCAAGGGGGTTGGAACTTGAGGATCTTTAAGGTCCCTTCCAACCCAAACCATTCTATGACAGTATGTTGCTGCATTTCAGTGGTTTTGCCATTGAAATTAGAAAAATACAGCATTCATGAAAAAATAGATCTGATGGCATTGGCTAGATTCTAAAATAAATTTACCTGTAGGAGATCATTCTCTAACACACATAGAAAATCTGGACTCCAAAGTCAGCAAGATTATTTAGAAAACGTAGTTCCCTGTTACATTATCATCAGGAACTGTCAGTCTAAAGCAAAACTTACTGAGATGACATCATATCTTCTTGGCTTACCTATACCATATGCTCTGATCTTTTTTTTCAGTTGACATTCAAAAGAGTGTTTGCAATTGAACGTTAAAAGTACCCTCCTTGGGCTAGCTTAGCATGGTGCTCTGTCTCTACAATCCAAAACAGACAATCCAAAGAGCACAATGACTTTTCAACAGTCTATAAGCTAAATAGTTGTGTTCCAGAAGAGTTATTACGTGTTTGGTGCTTCTTAAATCCAATCAGTCGGTGAAAATAGAGCTCTCAGATGCAGATATTTCATTTTAATGCAGTCCTTATACTGACATCTGGCTCTTGAAAATCTGGCATGACACAGCCAACAGGTGATATAAACGTCCTTGCAGTAAAACATTTTTCTGCAATATTCCCCAAAGTTTACAGTTATGCTGATTAAGGCAGCTTTTGCTTATTTCTGGATCAAGCTGAACAGGATTGAATTTGCTTACTTGAGGAAGAATTTGTCTGAAGCATACAGAAACAAAGACATCTGCAGATGTCAGAATTTCACTGACTGTTCAAATCACAGCATATTATTTCATTAGTATAGGATGGATCTGAAACCACCACTGCTGGTACATTCTTTATCCACACACATGGCCAATTAAAATAATTGTGGCTGTTAAGATGATTTTGCAAAATGCCAACCAAGTGAAAAATATAAAAAATTAAAAAGAGGGAGTTTTGCCTGTTCAGGTGTTGAGAAATATTAAATGGACTTTATTAGAATACTAATTAAAAAGATATGTTAGCTTTTAAATAATTTTTACTGCATTTCTGCAATAGATAGACCACAAGGACTCCCTGCATTGGAAAAAGAAAGAAGCTTCTAGCTGGCATGGTTGATGACCATAGAAGAGAAAGTCTGGTTTTAGACATGACTTGCTCATTTGTTTTTATGGGTTGCTGTTGGAAAGTTGATTTACATTTCTTTTTCTTCCATCTTTTTGTATATATTCTTAGGTTCTGTGTTGCTGTATGGCTCTCACGATGTCTCTATAATAGTACTAAAGAACAATTAAGTGATAATTCTTCTTTGAGAAAATAACTCCCACTGTAATAATAACCAAATCAAACCTAATTCCTATACAGGTTTAGTATCTATAAGGGATATCTATCCCTTATAGTATCTATAAATCTATAAGGGATTTATACCTTTCTGGTTTATGAAGTTAAGGTTAAGTCCAGAAAAGTTTCATATATATGGCTTTTTACTAAATATGCCAGAATTTTTACCCTTAATATCATTTAAATTACAATAAAACCCCTCAATCAGTAGTTTAATGCCATGAGATTTGAGCCATTTTTCTACACCAACAGCTGCATTTTTGGAAGAAAAATAGGCAAATATGTAGCAACTCACCAGACTCGTGGCACCCAAAATCCAGGCTTTTTCTCTCCGGGTCTTAACTTTAAATTGAGGTTTTTTGAAACACTTACATTTATTCTGAAGATGCCATGACAGTCTTCCTGTAGTGAAATAAACCACAGCCTGAGATTAAACAAACGCCCTGAGAGATGCCAACATGCCATCATAAACAGGACATTTGCCACAATGGGACAGCAATGTAAAGAGAAATGAAAGGTTATTTACAGGTCTGTGATTAATAGTCATGGACCTTTATCCAAATGAAAAACGCATCTTAGCAAGGATTCAAAATGCTCTTTTTCTCCCAGGACTGACAGTGCTTTTCAATTTGCAAGATTATGTAGCCTTTCATCTCTTTCCTAAAGACCATTGGTCTCTTCAGGTGATGACGATATTTCTCCAAATGGAGTAAGAAACAAGGATAACTTTCTCCATGTAATCCACATAGCATTCCCAGTGCTTTGAACCTCTAGCAGTCTAACCTGTTTTTCAGTTGTGGACCTAGGAATGCAGAGGTGCAATTTTCCATGGTTAATTCCATGTGCCATCCAGTCCTTTGCAGATAATAATGGCATTAATTTGACAATTTTCTTAAAGACAGTCCTCAATATTTGGACTTGCTTTACTTTTTTAATCAAAACACATCCTTATCCTCATTCACTGAATCCTTTTTTACCTCTTCCTCCATCATTCTGCTTATGAACAAGAAAGTGCCCAAGATCTCCATTTCTCATATGATAGCTCCGATTTCCTCACTTGCTTTCCCTAGCAGGTAGAAATTGCACAACATACCAATATTTTGAAGCAGAAAAGCAGTTCTTACCCTAGAGATGATGTGAGGATCATTGCATTTGGCCAGTTTTCCAGCAAATAGCTGCACTCCAAAGCTTGCAAAAACAAGCATTAAAGTCAGCAAAAGTATAGAAACCTGTAAAGATGAAGTTAGATCTGTTAAGCTCTACTCCTACAGACTTGAAAAAGGGGGTCAGCTCCTTTGGGGAACTGCAGGTAGGATAGTTTTGTGGCATAAACCTGGAGATACGGCTTTCATGACAGATACGTTACTTTAGGTTCTGATGCAGTAACCAGGTGCTGCCTTAGTATCAGTCTTATCATTAACATAGGATCTAAAAATAGCAGATAAGGATCAAAGCTTTCTTGCATTCAGTGTACCACCTTGCTAAATTCTGTATGCATAAGAATTACCATTCACTTTAAAGAGAACTTTTCAAGTACTTAAATATGTGCTCCTTCTGTTTTTCTGAATCAGGCTTTACTAACTAATCCAAGTAAGATATTGTTAGATATTTATCCAGGATAGTTACAATAAAGATATGCATGAGTAAATTATGATGTAAATATCTTTAACAGAATACTGTATCTATGAAATACTAACTAGCATTATACTTTTTGTCCTTGTTCTATTACTGCCTGCAAATATTTTGTAGCTTTGCCTTTTATATCAATGTGACCTAATACAGCATCCTGCTAAGGAATAAAATATCTGTTATTTAGGCTGACAAATATCACATAGGGTCTCAAGGCAATAGATTAGGTTCTGATCAAGCAATCACAGACTCCATTACTGTTATTTTTACTATAAGTGCATAATTATGATCATAGTAATAACAATAACGTAACAATGAGATCCAGATCTGTGATAAGCAGTTGTATTGTCTCTGGTTGCCTCTCAAAAAACTTGGAGGTAGAGACCTTCAGCTCAGAAACCAGGTTTACTTTTGTTCTTGCAGAGCTGCCATATGCTACTTCTTATCTTCCTTGCCCAACTAGAAGTGTGAATAAGGAGTAGTTTTTTTTTTCAGTAGTCCTCCTATGTAACTGTGGTGAAATGTATGCTGAATTAATATAATTTATAAAAGAATTATTAAAGCAGCTTTATTCAGTATAAATATGAGTTACTTATATTCCTCATTTTTAACCTGTTCTGTGGTCATCTCCAGTGATAGCCACAATGAAAAGTAAACAGACAACAATGGTGAAAAGAACAGAAAACATACATGTTATAGCAAAATGTTATCTTATTACTCCTTCATATATTTTAACAAGAAAAAAATAATTGGCACATACCAAAAAAATTTCCTTAAACCCACTAAACAGCTCTCGCACCACTTTTCTCATCTGAGGGACTAGTTTGAAAATTCGAAGAGGTCGGAGGCAGCGGAGTACCATTAAGAGCTGAGCTCCAGATTTGGCAGGGACATTCTGAGGCATCCAGCACAGGAATATCAAACTCACCTGGAGATGACAGGGCAGGAAAGGGCAAAGAAGGATTAGGCTTACAATGCCTTACTTGACATAGACACAGCACAGAAGATCAATGACTGCTTCTCTTCCTTAAAATTAAAGGAAAGAATAAGACAGAAAAGCACCTAATTTAGAAAATGGACTTGGACCTCTTGTGTCCTGGCTTATTGTCTTAACTAACAGGCATCAGCTTCAGTCTCTGCCTTCCCCTTTGACTCAGAATCTACTTGATACTTTTCAGCAGATGGAACTGTTCCAAAAGAGGAAACCAATTTGGCTGATTCAGAATAGGGTCAGAAACTATATTCTTGGAGCAGGCAGCATTATTGCTCTCCCCCCCCTTCTCATTTCAGAGATTCTATCCTGAATCTAAGAAATCCTCACCTGGAAAATCTGTTAACAGTTTTCTCGACAGTTTTTCCTACCACTTTGTTACAGGCATAAATAGTTTTGTCACCACGTGGTCTCATCACATAAATGTTATGTATTGGAAAACATTTTTAAACAGCATAGTCGTGTCTTGTAGCCTCAGCAATCTCTGACAAACGGTTATTGATTTAAAGTCTGTTAATTACTTCTTATTTTTCAAAAACCAATGTTATTATAGGGAGACAGAGGCGAGAGTGTTACAATGAAATAAGTGCACAAAAAATGGAGGATCAAGCTGATATCACCAATATGATTTAAAACATAAAATGAATTGTTGAAACAACAGTGACAAAAGACAGCTGCTCCATCAAAACAAAATGATTTGCCAGTGCTTCTAACTTTATTTCATATTCTTTTAAGACCACCACAAGCACATTTGGAATATCCAAGCTACACCACCTAAATTTTCCTTCAGACAAGCAAAGGGATTCAGAGAGATTTGAAGAATTATGCATACTACAGTAGGTGTTTTGTACAAGTATGCATATTTTTATTTGCTAACAATGGAATCTTAGATACAAATTGATCATGACAAATTTTATGCAGCACATCTGCCTGGTGAATTTATCTCTGAAAGATTTAATCTAAATCCATCAAAGCCATTTTTCTCAGTAATTTCTTCAGTACTAAATAACAGAATAACAGAATATGCTGAGTTGGAAGGGACCCACAAGGATCATCAAGTCCAGCCCTTAGCCCTGCACAGGACCATCCCCGAGAGTCACACCATGTGCCCAAGAGTATTGTCCAACTGCTTTTTGAACTCCTTCAGGCTTTGTGCTTTGACCACTTACCTGAGGAGCCTGTTTTAGTGCCCAACCACAAATAAAAATATTTCATACTGCATTATACTGGGCACTGCTTTTGACATTCTGTGGTGTTTACTGTCATACGTGAAGAGGAAATGGACACCCTTCTCCTGTATTTGAATGCACAAAATTTCTCAGGTACAAAGGAAACAGCAGAGCAATTTTTTTTTCCTGAGAACCACTACTGATAGGTATAGGGTATAGAAAGATATTGTTTTGCTTTCTGCTACAGCGACACCAGCAACAAGGATGTGCCCTTCATCAAATATTAAAGGCTTTTGAAACACCTTCTATAAGGCAGGAATACTGTGGAGAGGGGTAGAAGAAACGAGTATCTATGAAACAGGTAAAATAAAGATTCTCCTGCATAAGAATGCTGAAGCGAGGTCAGAGATCTTGAGTTTACTTTGGAATTAAATCAGATCTGACACTTAAAGCATATCAACAAATAAACAATTAAAAGGGACCATACAATGACCCTACACTAAATTGCCAGGTGCTTATCACATTGGTGTATTTTTAGATGTCTAAACAAGTATTTGTACACATAACTGACAGGAATGCACATGAAAACAGCAGTGTCTGAACACAAATTATACTACTATATTTGCATCAGGGTGCAGAGCCAAACTTTTTCATACTACTAAACATTTATATAACCGAAGATATCAAAATTATGAATGCTACAAAAACCTCCCATAAATATAAAAACTTACAAGATATATAAATATGTCCATAACGCCTCCAAAGTCCCTAATGACAGCTGTTGGTGTAAAAAACAAGCCATCTGCCATAATCTTCAGATTAAGCTCAATGCTCATGAATATTACAAAAACATATTCAGCAATCTGAAAAGCAAAGCAGAAAACAGTCATAATTTAAGAACAGGCAATGGAGAAAACCAAGGTGATTGTGCTTCGTTAATTGTAAAATGATTTGGTGGCAGTACCTGGAGTGTTGGAGCATGCATAACTCTTCTAAAAGGGGATTCGAACATCATGGAAATGCAGGAGCATATAGTAACAATGATCATGACCCAGTCCAGGTAAGTAACCAAACCCAGCAAGTCACTGTGAACAATACATAAGGAAATTCCATTACAGAAATGCCTAGAGTGCTGTGTACTTGTGCCACGCCTACAGCACAGTTAATTGCTTTCCTATGAAAAATAAATTAAGCCGAGGAGTATCAAAGATTTCAGTATTTCAGAAATGTGTTCTAAAACCAGAGAAGTTACATGCAAGTGAAGAAGAAAAGTCTGATTAAAAAATCTGCTTCCTATTCATCCTCCTCCCCAATTAACTCCATGGAAAGAAAAACCTTTTTGGGAAAAAAAAAATATACATGTGCATGCACATATACACACATACATGCAGGTGTGTGCTCACACACTTATGCTGCAGGCTTATGTGACCAAGCAAAGTTACTTTTGCAGTGCTTACTAAAGCTGATGGTATTTGGTATTTTTCACAGCTCCAGTAACAGGATCTGTTTTAGAACTATAAAAAGAAGAAAAGATACAGTAATTTACATTTTATTTTAGTTAACATTATAATTATACCATGCATCTGTCACCTCAAAGTAATTTCTGTCCAAAATCAAGGCTCCATTTTATCTCATCTTAATTTTAAATGTCTGAATAAGTTTCATTTAATTCTATGCAATTTCAGTCATATTACCAACACAGCTGGTATCACTTTAACTCATTGCTTACCTGTAATTCCTCTAATGATTCCTGGAACTGTGAGTTTTTTGGGTTTTGCTTTTGCAAACAAGGATTTAATTTTGTATTTTGCTTGGAAATGAGGGCGCTAAGCTGCTACTGAATTTTATGTACCAAGGTATTTCCTCAGGAGTTCTTTAATTTCAAAACTTCTTGGACCATGGCTGGATGGGGCTCTGAGCAACCTGTCCTAGCTAAAGCTGTCCCTGTCCATGGCAGAGGGGGTTGAACTAGGTGATCTTTAAGGCCCCTTCCAACTTAAACCACTCCTTATGATTCTGTGATTCTATGATATCCTCAGTTAACATACACACACACAAATCCTTCCACATGACCTATTCCTTTTACAATTTCTTTTTCTGATTAATATTTTTAGATTCTCCATATCTGAATTTTCCTATGTAATTGCTGTGCTCCACCTACCATGTCCGAGCACCCATTAGGCAGTCAGAAAGAGTGAGAACCACTTTATAAGTAATATACACATATCTAGGAGACATGAGTTAAGTTCTGGCTGCAGCAATTATTTATTGATTCTTAAAGTCAAGCCTTTTCCCCCTATTTTACATAGTAGCATTCCTCAGCCTTTTTTACTAGAAGAAAATATGTATCCTACCAGTTTGAAAAACATATCTAAAATGCCTTACTTGGCAAGTTAGGTAGGTCAATGAATAAAGCAGGTAGGATTTAAAGAAATGAAAAAAAGTACTGTTTAAGAAAACCAGTTTATTCTTATAATTGCAAATATTTTCTTTAAACTGTTTTAATGTAAATATCCTACTACCATCAGGCACTCCACAATGGTAAGAGGCACTGACAAGTTTTTGACAAGTGGATTGGAATGACTGTGTGGGGGTTTTTTTCTGTGTTAATTTGCAGTGCTTCATAGACCAGTGCACCACAATCAAGTTAGCAGTTGTATAAAAAAGTGGATGTGCCTCTACATACATGGCAGAACACTTAAATATAGGTATTGTTAAAACTGAATATCAAACCTTCCTGCCATGCTAACCAATTTGTTGAAGGGCACAGAGAAAATCAATGATAAAGCAGGTACTGAAACCAGTCCTTACAAGGGCCAAGCTCATAGTCTTGAGCTATCTTGTGTCTTACACTGTCTGTTTGCAAGGTGACATGCATTAACCCTCAAAAATTAGGATACCAGTCACAGATAGAGGTTTAAAAGAAGAGCTGTAAGATTATTTTATATCAAGCTGCTTGTACATAGATCTCTATCTGCCATGCTCACACACACAGTTTAGTTGCTGAGTCTTCCTGATTTTCATCTGGTTTCAGCTTTTCTTCTTTTATCTCCCAGAGCCGAACACCTCCCCATCCCATTCTGGGTCCCTAATTATGGGCTACAGAGTCTTCGGGTGAGCATAGGTGTGATTCATTTCTCTTTACCTTTTTCTGTTCTATGAGTAACTAACTGCTGGTGTATAAAAACTTTTCGCTTTATGATGAGGAATAGGAAGGAAATAGCAAGCTGATTCCCCAAGGTCTAAAACTGGGAAACATTAGCCTTTCCTCTCAGTTCATGTCTGTGGTTTCTCCACAGTCTTGTCCCATCTCAGCACCACAGACTGCTCTAACACATCTGCCCCTACACAGCATTTTATTGCTTCCTTTCTTTCAACAGCAAGACTACACCATAGAAAACTGACCGCCAGCTTGTCTGGTGACCACATTATATGCAGTTTTCCTTGTAAAAGAAAAGTTAGAACTTGATTTTGGAGGATATGAAGGTAAACGTTTTGGAACCAATGTTGATATGAAATGAACTTACGCATTAAAGCGAGCTCGTACCACCACTCGGCAGAAATTCCTGAATCTGTGCTCACGACCAACTATGAAAAGGGGTTTATCAAAATATGGATGATTCTCTCGCAGCTCCTCCTCCTGGACTTTCCTTTTGAAAAAAACGTAAATTATTAAGTGTTACTCATTATAACAGGCAAAAATATCTCTTACACTTTGTTCTTTTTTTTTCATGTTGACTCTCAATACATTTTACTTCATACAGAGAATAGTTAACGCAGAAAATGTGCACTCAGACTTTGACTGTTAAATACCTTTTCATTTCAGCTTGTTCCTTTTTTTCTTGGATCATCTTTATCTCACTGTCTTCTCTCTGTGCATTTCTGTATCTCACTGTGTTAGAGTGCTAGAAGCAAAATGATTCCTTTTAAATAAGGTCTGAGGGTTGTTGTTTTTTTAATGTTTCAGATGAAAGCAAGATATGGTATTTTACATAGAAATATTAAAATGAAAGGTCTTTATTTCCAATTGTACTGCACATCAACTCAGTCAAGCATATTGCACAGTATTTTCCATCTACAACATAAGGCTCCTTATTTTCATCAAGGTTAATTTCAGTTCTAATTTCATGCTCGAGGTTCCATCCAATCTAACTTTTAACTTTAAAAACAGAGGTCCTGTAAGCTCAGCCAGTCTCTCTGAACTGGAATGAATACCATCAAAGTTACTAAAAGCAAAGACTGGGAAAGAAAAGGCTTTAGACACCCCTTGAGCTTCTCAAGCCTGCTGCATGGCTGCCACACTGCGGGGCATGCAGAACATACAGGCAGTGAATGCTGAGTGCAGGGACAGGGAGAGTGAGGGAGGATGTCGTCTGAGCTCATCCAGTGAAGGGTACAATCAGTATTACTATTCTGAGTTATGTGAGTCTTTGGAGCACTCATGGTGGGGTAATGCTGGGTGTTATCCTTACTACTGGACACTAACAAAGTCACATCTGCTTTAGTTACCTACAGTTTAAGTTCAACAAGACCAAGTGCTGGGTCATGCACTTTGGCCACGACAACCCCATGGAGCATTAGAGGCTGGGGACAGAATGGCTGGAGAGCAGCCAGGCAGAAAGGTACTGATTGACAGCAGGCTGAACATGAGCCAGCAGTGTGCCCAGGTGGCCAAGGTGGCCAAAGGCATCCTGGCCTGTATCAGGAATAGTGTGGCCAGCAGGACTAGGGAAGTGATTCTTCCCCTGTATGCAGTGCTGGTGAGGTTGCACCTCAAGTACTGTGTCCAGTTCTGGGCCCCTCAATTTAGGAAGGAAATTGAGGTGCTGAAGCATGTCCAGAAAAAGGCAATGAGGCTTGTAAGGGTCTGAGTACAAGACCAATGAGGAGTGGCTGAGGGAGCTGGGGAGAGCTGGGAGAACAAGAGGCTCAGGGGAGAACTTATGGCTGTTTACAACTACCTGAAAGGAGGTTGTAGTCAGGTGGAGGTCAGTCTCCCAAACAACTCGTAACAGGACAAGAGGACAGTCTTAAGCTGTGCCAGAGGAGATTTAGGTTGGACATTAGGAAGAAGTTCTTCACAGAAAAAGTGACTGGGCATTGGAATGGGCTACCCAGGAAGGTGGTGGATTCACCATACCTGGAGATATTTAAGAAAAGACTAGATGTGGCACTTAATGACATGGTCTAGTTGACAAGGTGGCATTAGGCCATAGGCTGGACTCGATGATCTCAGAGGTCTTTTCCAACCCAATTGATTCTGTGATTCTGTGATTCTGCTTCTTTGAAGACTTTGATAGTTTGAATGACAGGACTAATATTGCCCCTTGAATTTCCATCGTCACAGAGTTCCACAAAATATGGTATGAATTTGCAGAAATGAAAACACACTTAACTGTATGAAACTACACCACAGTGAAATTCATGATTACTGTTTTCCCTTTTAGTCTTTGTCCTTTCATCTGACAGTTCTATTGCTTGAAAAATATCGCTAAACTTCCACCAGAAATTCTGAAGTGCTGTATTGCCAGCCGGAGTGATCTGTGTAATTCCAGAGTAAGCCTTTTTAAGGTGTCCTGGGTAGCAATTGTTGTGTTCCTAATGTAGTATCTACAGCTTCAGTGAATCTATCTCAGCAAGTGTTCCAAAACCAGTAAGTCTATCAGTGAAATAACCATGGCAATTCTAATAACCAGGATAATTCTAATGCAGCTACAGTATTTGTTATATGACTTCCTTTCAAGATTTCAAAAGATAAATTGTAAGCTACTTCATAAATAGAAATTAGTCTTACACAAGCATTTATTTGATAGTATGTAGTCTTACTTTTTACATTCCCAAAAATCAAAACCATCATTTCTATGAGGACTTACATCTTGAGTCAACGTTTCAAGAGATTTTCCTCTGCTGATTCTCTGGCTGTTGGAACCATGTCTCAGTGACCTGAAACAATAATAATCAATTTAACAATACATCTCAAGATGAAATTTTGACCTTTATAAGATGGCCATTATAAAGCACTGCTCTCCAGACACCCAATATCTCAAATTTTTATCATTTTTCTCTCGCTAACATCAGAAGCTTATATGTTCTTCAATTGTTTTCAATCTGGTCTAACATAAGCCAATTTCTTTCCTTCTGATCTTTAAACTGATAGCTTTGTAGTTGGCAAAGGGAATGACATTTGAAATAAAAAGGCATTTTTTCCATTTATACAGTACAATGAATTTCATTACGGTTACAATGAAGAATGTAGAATTCACTTCTTTGTACAAGTAGATAATTTTGGGTTATCACGTCTTAAGTATTGCTCAAATTTAATTCTTTTTGTCACCTTTATTTTAAGAATAGTTTTAAAACCATCTCTTTTGTCCATGTTTACCTGCGTTCTTGTCGTATATGATGCTGGACACTAAGTATTGACCTTTCCTTTGCTGGCTGCCCCTCAAATGATCCACTCAGCATGCGTTGTCTAGTGCAGGCCCTACAAAGAAATATAAATATGATGACAGAGAGTTTTCAGTATAAATTATAATTTCAGAGGTAGCATATTCAGAAAAGTCAGCTTTGCTTTGTGGGAACCAAGTTCTTCAATAATAACAGACAAAAATAATAAAAGAGCAATGTACTTTCCATGAAAACATGTCCAAAGCAATGGTCCTCGCTCTGCAAGACAACCAGTCATCCAATGAACGTCCTTCATGCCTTAGCAAGGGCCATCTACAACTTTTTTATCCAGTTTGCTGTAGAATTCATGGTCCCTCAAGAGTTCACAAAGTGTGAAAGGGCTGAAGCAATGCACTAATCCTCAGTAAAACCAGCTTCTCAGCAATAAAGAAGGGAATAGGACAAGTACAACAGCAATTTTAGTCCCTTTCAGGGCTGTATGTACACATTTAAGACTTACAGCATAACTTTGAGTGTTCTAAATAACTGGAACCATATATGGTATGAAATGAAAAGCTGCACGTTGCTGATATCCTGCAAATGAAATGTCTGCTCTCTGTGAATGCATTCAACTTGCAGCATTTTGCTGTGTGGGTTTTCTCACTTGTTTGCTCACAGTTCATTTTGTTTTGGCAAACACATTTTACATTTTACACATTTTGGCAGAGATTAGTATTTGTTGGCTAGTAAGTGTGCTACAGCTAAACAGAGCATGCATATCTTTATCTTGATGGCTACAATGGAATTGATTTGCTTAAGAAAAAGAGATGTTTCCACTGAAATAGCTCACACAAATATTCTGATGCCTGAGAGATGGAATTTCAACACTGGAAACATATTTTAACATTCCGGGAATGCTTCAATTTTAAGTTTATACTGTGCAATCCTTACTGCTCATTTTGCGTTATGCAACCATCCAGAGAAACACAAGACCCAACTGGTAATATTGCATACTTTTTATTGAATAGAATCTCCTTTTTTAAAAAAAAAAAGATTAAAAAAATTATACACCATTTGAGTAACCACTCAATTTGCCAGTCTGCTGTAGGGCTTAGATAAATGCTGGAATGAGCATGCTTGAATGCAAAAGGTGTACATGGCATGTTCTTTCCCCACTGTGACTTTGTTTTTCACCCTTCTGTGTTTTTTTCTCCTTCTTTTGGATATAAACACATAAATGATAGAAGTATGAATCCAAAGTGAGATCTGGAACAAAAACAAGAAGCTTAGAATGCTTATCAGTGTCATCACTGCCAGTCAGATTACCATGCTAGAAAAAAATACATTGTGCTACACTTGTTATAAAAAGCATTAGGTTATACTACACTGAACTGAAGCATCATGACATTTAAGAAAATTACTACATGTCTTATAAAACACAGCTCATCTTAGGCAAATCATGAACATTTTAATGCCAATGGATTTTAAGCATTATATTGTGGAGGATGATACCATATAACACTGTCAGAAAACAACAGAGATGTCTGAATACCTGTGCAATTTTTGACTAAAAAAAGAAAAAAGCAAAAAATTATTTCCTAAAAATGGATTATATCTAAATCCATTAAAATGACAGTTCAGTTTTTCCTAGGGGAGACAATGAAAAGTTCTGTATAGAGGGTTCTCGCTGTGACAAAGAGATTAACTTATCTTTTTTTTTCCCCTGTAAATATTAATTATTGTGCTTTGCTTTTAACAGCTAGAAATTATTTTCTTGACATCAAAAAGTGACTTGCACATAAACTTTCCATATTCTTGTACACAATTACTTGAATATCAAGTTACATAAACTCTTAGTGTTCACAATAAAAGAGATTTTAAATGCTCAAACAATAAATTCTTTACCTGACTAATGAACAAGATGGCTTATTTTATTATTAATTGTATAATACAATAGACTTAGCCCATATTCTATGGGCATACTATGGCAGAATGGGCATGCATAAAGAGTAACTAACACCTGTAGAAAGACTTAGTATTGTTTATGATCTGTAAATTAGATTACTAAATCCATATTTAGAATTTACATCCATTGCCTTATTTTCAATACCTCTGGAAGCCCTGCAGCTCCTACTGAAGTGAACAGAGAAATAATGAAATGCCAGTTGTATAGCAGAGAGATCAGAAATTTTTATCAAGTAATTGCAAAGAAATTTTTTTGTATTTCCAGAGAAAAAGATGCTGTCCTGAAAAGGCCATGGCTCCTTTTGACAGTCTCTCTCTGAGCATTCTCCACTTCATGGGAATGATTGCCTTAATCTTCCTTGTATTTCCAGATACTTTGTTATACTTTCTTATACTTCTGACTCAAAATCTGGATATTTTTCAGTTGCTTAGACACCTAGATCTTTGGGACTTCTGAAAAAGAAGGCAAGTGCCATGAAGTTTTCAGAATGGTTGCCAATTTAAAAGTCTGCAGTAGGATTTGCGTTCTCATTGCAGACATACACTTATGTACTCAGTCTCAGTGCCTCCATGTGATCCGTGTGTCCAGGCTTCCCTCATAACCAACAGAGATGTAGGACTCAATTAAATTGGTTGTACAGAGGTGTCCAGCACCACCTGCCATGCCTTGGGAGTATCTTGCCTTGCTTCCAGCTGCTGCTCCATCAGGGTACAAGGTACAATAGTCCTACAAATCCTATTTTCAAGAGGATGTCTTTGACATCCTCTGGCATCTCATACAGTATTGTATGTCCCTATGTGGACAACTTCACTGAATGCTTGGTCAATTAATCTAATTAATTATGTTCTGAAAGTATTAAAGTAACCATAAAGTGGGCATCTAAAGACAAAGCAGTCAGTTAAAGATCTCACTGGGCTCCACTATTTTATTGCAGAACTTGGAACAGAGTCCAGCAGCTGCCAACTACATGCTCCAAATCTTCCTTGAAAAGCGCAAATACAATAAAATATCCTGAAAGAGAAAATGCAATTTGGTAGGTTATTAGAAAGCAGATGAAGATTACACAGAACAATATACTACTGGGATACCACATAGTTTGTGCCACATAGTTTGTATTACCTGTAACCTGTTAGGAGGTCCAAACTTCTGAAGTTCTTCAAACTATTTCCTGCTTCGGGATCCCTGAAAAATAAGTAGTGAACAGAGTGTTCAAGCAACATTCTTTGACCTAATATTAAATGTTAAATGTTTTGATCAATACTTTAAAATACTATACCTTTAATCAGTATTCCGAGGTCTCTTGCAGAGGGTATGCATATGGCTCATGCTTGGACTTCTTAGTCAGGCATCCTTTCTGCAACAAGTGTTTACTCATCTTTTATTCCAGTATAACACCAATTTGGGTTTTTTCTTCGTTATTTGAATGAGTGAGTACTTATGTAGTAACTGTAGCAACTGCATAAATCACTGTATGCTTTTGTTCTTGTTCTCTCTGAAACGTGCTCAAACTGAAGTCTTAGCAGTGTGGTACCCTGCAGTACAACACTCAGTTATCATCCTCATTCAGCACTGTTTCCACTCTCTATGACTCTCTAACCTTACTAAATCTTTCTCTGCTCTCATTATAATTCCAACTAACTTGGAATATATGGTTGAGTGTGCCAATTTAAGATTTATGGGGAATCCACCTGATAGATGTTGTAGTGTTTCTTTCATTTATAAATTTAATTCAATAAGGCACTTTTTGAATAGCAAGCAAAATGCACATTTTCACCATAGCTATACTACTGTTCTTTTTTTTTTAAGAAATATGAATTTGGCTGGTGAAATAAAATGGATTATTAATGCAACTTGTATAATCTATGATTTTTCTTTTCCATGTTTTTTCTTGTTTCCTTCCATATGCCTCTAAAGAAAAACCAGTCACATCTTTAGTGTCTGCTCAGCCAGATGAGCTATGGTAGCAGACTTTCTTCTTTAGCATTTTTTTACTCTGATTGCCATTCTCGCCTTGCTGTTTCAGCTTCTCCTCTCACAGATATTAGTATAATAACAATTTGTATTGGATTGTAGAAGAATTAATAAAAGCAATATAGAAGAAGAAACCTCAAGTGACCATCCAGTCTAACACCTCTTTCAAAATGGGATCAACAATAGCTACATTATTTGGGGATAATGTTTGTCTATCTTCTTTTTCCATACCTGCAGTGTTGGAGACTCCATAGCCCAATAACTCTACTTCACAACTGTGCTTTGCACTGATCCATAACATGGTGGTCAGTCGGCACAACCCCCATGGAACAGAGTAACTTCTGACCAATGGATATGTGCATTCCAGAATTTCCTTTTTTTGTCTTTGAATTAGGTAGGTGAAATCCAATCATGCCATATGCTTGTAGATATTGAGGAAGGTGGACTAAGTCTGGATTTTGTGCCTGACAACAACTAACATCAAATTATTTGGAACATTTGTTCTGAGAAATGCATGGTATCAAACCCTCAAAGTTATGAAGAAAGAAATCTTACTCTTAAGAGAGAAAACATAAAATATATGCCAAGAAATTTGTTGCAAATGATTCAGAACTAAGTCACTTATTTAATGCAGGCAAATTTCTAATAAAGAATAGTGTGTCTTCTATGATCATAGAATCATAGAATCATTTAGGCTGGAAATGATATTAAAGATCAAGTCCAACTGTTAACCCAGTATTGCCAAGTCCACCACTAAAGCATGGCCCTAAGTGTCTTTTAAATACCTCCAGAGATGGCGACTCAACCACTTCCCTGGGCAGCCTATTACAGTGCTTGACCACCCTTTCCATGAAGACTTTTTTCCTAACATCCAGTCTAAACCTCCCCTGGTGCAACTTGAGGCCATTTCCTTTTGTCCAGTCACTTGTTGCCTGGTATAAGAGACTGAACCCCACTTCAGTACAATGTTCTGGTAGTTGTAGAGAATGATAAGGTCTCCTCTCGCCCTCCTTTTCTCCAGCCGAAACATCCCTAGTTCCCTCAGCTGCTCCTCATAAGATTTGTGCCCCAGAGCCTTCACCAGCTCTGCTGTCCTTTTCTGGACATGCTCCAGCACCTCAATGTCTTTCTTGTCATGAGGGGGCTAAAGCTGAACACAG